CGTCCTCATCGCCCTCCTCGCCTCCTCCTCCTCCTCCTTCCTCCTCCTCCTCCTCTCTCCCCTCCTCCTCCTCCCCTCCTCCTCCTCCCGTTCCTTCACTCCAGCTCCTCCTCCTCCTCCTCCTCCTACTCCTCCTCCCCTCCTGCTCCTCCTCTCTTCTCCTCTCTCTTCCATCCTCCCTCCTCCTCCTCCTACCTCCTCCTCCTCTTCTCCTCTCCTCCTCTTCCTCCCTCGCTTTCCTCCTTCCTCCTCCTCCTCCTCGTCCTCTTCCTCCTCCTCCTCCTCCTCTCTCACTCCTCCATATCCCTCCTCCTCCTCCCCCTCCCCTCCCCTCCCCCCGCCCACCTCCCCCTCCTCCTCCTCCTCCCCACTCCTCCTCCTCCTCCTCCTCCTCCTCCTCCTCCTCCTCCTGCTCCTGCTCCTGCTCCTGTTCCTGCCCTGCTCCTGCTCCTGTTCGCTGCTCCTGCTCCTTCTCATGCTCCTGCTCCTGCTCCCTGCTCCCCCCCCTGCTCCTCTCCCCCTCCTGCTCCTGCTCTGCTCCTCTCCTCTCCTGCTCCTCCTCCTCCTCCTCCTCCTCCTCCTCCTCCTCCTCCTCCTCCTCCTCCTGCTCCTGCTCCTGCTCCTGCTCCTGCTCCTGCGCCTCCTCCTCCTCTTCCTCCTCCTCCTCCTCGTCCTCCTCGTCCTCCTCGTCCTCGTCCTCCTCGTACTCCTCGTCCTCCTCCTCCTGTTCCTCCTCCTCTTCCAAAGACAAGATAGGTACATATATGTATTATATATATGAGAAAGAGAGAGAGGGAGAGAGAAATAACAAAATCACCCTGGCGACGGACCCAACCATATGCAGTTGTGGGTACCGCAATTGTGAATATGTTCTTCGGTGGAGCTCCCTATGGGGCCACGAAGCGCTGCACTGGGTGGGGGGGAACGCATGCGGGCGGTAGAACTGGGGGCCGTCGGGCGAAATCCCTATGGGGCAACGAAGCGCCGTACTGGGTGGGGTGAAAATGCCAAATTTGGTGTGTACGCGTGCGGGCGGCCCCAGTGGTGGCTTCGGTGGAGCTCCCTATGGGGCAACGAAACGTATGAGGGGTGTGCCACATTTGGCTTCCAGGACGCATGCGGGTGGTCCCACTGGGGGCTTCGGTGGGGCTCCCTATGGGGCCACGAAGCGCTGCACTGGGTGGGGGGGAGCGCATGCGGGCGGTAGAACTGGGGTCGTCGGGCGAACTCCCTATGAGGCCACGAAGCGCCGTACTGGGTGGGGGAAAATGCAAAACCTGGCGTGTGGGACGCACGCGGGCGGTCCCAGTGGTGGCTTCGGTGGAGCTCCTTATGGGGCCACGAAACGTATGAGGGGTATGCCAAATTTGGTTTCCGGGACGCATGCGGGTGGTCCCACTGGGGGCTTCGGCGGAACTCCCTATGGGGCCACGAAGCGTTGTATTGGGTGGATGAAAATGCCAAATTGGGCATCCGAGACGCACGCGGACGGTCCCAGTGAGGGCTTCGGTGGAGCTCTCTACGGGGTCACGAAACGCCGTAGTGGCTGGCATGAAGAAAAAAATGTGCTTCAGGGGCGCACGCGGACAGTCCCACTGGGGGCTTCGGTGGGGCTCTTTATGGGGCCGCGAAACGCAGCACTGGGTGGGGTGGGGTGAAAATGCCAAATTCGACTTCCGGGACGCACGCGGACAGTCCCAGGGGCTTCGGCGGGGCTCTCTATGGGGGCACGAAGCGCTGCACAGGGGGGGGGACGCATGCACACGGTACCACTTGGACCTTCGGTGGGGTTCCCTATGGGGCCACGAAGCGCTGTACTGGGTGGGGGGGACGCATGCAACTGTATGCACTGGGACCTTCGGCGGGGGCTCCCTGCGGGGCACGGAAACGCTGCATTTGGGCGTGGGGGGGCAATGCGGACAGTCACTGGGGACCTTCGTGGGGCTTCCTGATTGGAACCACGAAGCGCTGTGCTGGGTGGGGGGGGGACGCATGCGGACGGTAGCACTGGGACCTTCGGTGGGGCTCCCTATGGGGCCACGAAGCGCTGTACTGGGTGGGGGAGACGCATGCGGACGGCAACACTGGGACACTGGGACCTTCGGTGGGGCCCCGTATGGGGCCACGAAACGCTGCACTGGGTGGGGGGGGCGCATGCGGACGGTAGCACTGGGACCTTCGGTGGGGCTGCCTATGGATGGGTGGGGTGGGGTGTGGGGGGAGGGGGGAGTGGGGGGGGGGGTGCGCATGCGAGCGGTAGAACTGGGACCT